TTAGGGTGGGCTACTTACGGAGTATTTTATGTACTCACCCCCTCTACCTTAATTGTTTCAGGTGCGAACCGGGCCGACCGTGGTGATGACGTGGAGGAGGTCTGACTGAGGAGGGATCACTAGCTGTGTTAGTTAGGCTAGGGAATAATGTTGTGCAATGCAGACACCGTTAAAATCTTATTGCTATGAAATAAAATGGGAATTAGACATTGGGTTAACTCAAAGGACACTTTCTCTTATTGCTTTATGGGTATTTTTACTATTCGAATTACTGATGTATTTGGGATTACGAGACAAAACGATTATTTTCTTTTTATTGGATTCCTGACCACTGAGGCGGGTGTTATCTCATGAATATTCCATTATTGTGTACCTCCATTTTGTATGTTGCATTAGGAGAACATTACATTTTTGATACCTTAAATAGGAGGGTCCAGTAAGCGTTATAGGACCGTTACTTCGTTAATCGTATCAGAAATTTGGGTTTTTACAGTCCTTCTACAGATAAAGAGAAGGAAGAGATGAGCATTGTACACCATGGTGTGTACTAGACCGGATATTGCCTATGCTGTTGGTGTTGTTAGTCGGTTTATGTCCGATCCGGAAAAACAGCATTGGGAGGTAGTAAAATGGATTATGAGATATTTGCGGGGTACTTCTAGTTTGAAGCTCACTTTTGGAAGTGGAAAGTTAGTGCTTGCCGGTTACACTGATTCAGATATGGCAGGAGATTTAGATAACCGAAAGTCTACTTCCAGCTATTTGATGATATTTATAGGTGGTGCAGTGTCATGGCAGTCAAGATTATAGAAGTGTGTTGCACTTTCTACGACTAAGGCCGAATATATTGCAGCAGCAAAGGCATGCAAGGAGATGTTGTGGATGAAGCGATTTATACAGGAGCTCGACTTCAAGCAAGAACAGTATGTGATATTCTGCGATAATCAAAGTGCTATTCATCTTTGTAAGAATTCAACGTTTCATTCGAGAACGAAACATATTGATGTGAGGTATCACTGGATGAGAGATGCTCTCAATGATGGACTATTTAAACTTGAGAAGATACATACTGATTGTAATGGATCCGATATGTTGACAAAGAATCTATCAAGAGAAAAGCTTGAGTTTTGTCGTTCCGTTACCGGGATGACAATGTCCTTCACACAGTGAAAAAGGGGGAGATTGGTTGGGTATTTTTCACTTGTTGTGAAGCCCAACTAGAAGAATGCCCATTTGGCCTTTTAGGGTTTTTTTTTAATTAATATTTTGTTTATTTGTCTGTTTGTTTCCTATATAAAAACAAACATGTGCAACCATTTATGTCATCAAGAGAGAGGGAAAAGTTTTTGCGATCGAGGAGAGAAAACAAAAAAGAAATGATAAAACAAACTCATTCCGTACAGTAGTTGTAACACCCCGCGTTCTCGAGTTAGTTTTATTTTAAGATTTAATTTGTGCATTTGGATTCCTCCAGTTTTCTTTAAGTGAAATTCTTGGAACTTCTTATTTTGGAGTTTTAAGTTTTGGTAAATAAGAATCAAGTTTATTTTCGTTGGATTTAGGTAAATTAAGTTTTATAAATTTTGGAAAGATATTTTTATTTAGATCTTAATTCAAAGTTTTGGAAATTTAATTTTCCCTTTTTATTTTATTTTTGGATCTCAAGTATAAATTAATTTCCTAAATCCTT